AGAGAGAGAGAGAGAGAGAATTCGTTATTAATAATAACTTACATGTATTATTAATTAAAAGTTAAGTTTTTATGTAACTTAATATAAAACATATATAAATAATTACACGTTAATCGTATGTATTTCTGGTGAACATATAGCTATGAAATTAGTTTTATTAATTAAGTAAATATTGTGAAGCAAAAAATTAGTACTGTGAATTAAATAGAGAATTGAAATTTTATATGTAATAAATTGTTACAATGATATTCATAAATGATAAACTACATATTTAGTCAAATATATCATAAATCAATAGATTAAATATTTAAATAAAATTCTTAATTAAATCACCTGTCCAGATTTAAACAAATTAATTATTTATTACTGCTTGTTATAATTTAATTATAATACAATGCACATTTAATTAGGCCTAATAATGTAATTTAAAATTACTAATTTTAAAATTGCGTGTTTAAAAAAATACAATTTGAACAACTATTTGCATTGTACAATAAATAACAATTTATAAAGTACACCTACATTGATAGAAAAATTTATAAATATGATGTATTGTATTAATATTATTAACTATACATAACGCATGCCTATTAGCAATAAATACTGTATACAAACGAGATAAGTTTTGAAGTTAGGTATACTTTTAAACATGTTGTCAAAACATGATTATATCAATATTTATCATTTTTTAGACATTTTGTAAATTATTATGAAAATATATGCATATTTTTTACATGTTAGTTAACAGTTATAATAAAGTATTGTTGTTGTGATCCACAAACACAACACTTAATAATGAAAGTATTGGTCGATTTGAATGGATGTGAAAACTATAGCATTCGTATCGATCGTACGGATAGTGCGGTTGTGTTGCCCTTCAATCAGGTCTACAATGAGATCCGCAAACAAATCAAACACAACATCACATCCAATACACATATCTTCGAGGTAAGCATGGATTACAGTCTAATAGTGTTTACACTTGTATTTCAATTTTATTAAAATTTTTTGTGTATTTTAATTTTTAATTAAACATTTTTACTATAATTTTAATTATCACCAGATATTTGACAAAGACTTCTGTGAATACTGTGTTATAACGAGTGATAATTACGTGATTGAAGACCTGTCGCGACTACGGGTGCGGCCGAAGACAGTGAACAACGAGTCCATAGGTTTAGGCATTAATCGGGACTTAAATATTGGCCACAAATACAGCCATAAAATACAATACGAGAAAAATGAACTCAACTTAAGTGAAAACAATATCAATAAATGTGAGGACAGTATTACTGATTACGAGAACAGGGAGGAGACGGATGGCTCGATCGCTGGTGATAGTTGTTCCCAAAGTGTGTACACTAATAGTGAGATTAATAGCGATACTCTATGGGCACCGAAACCTCAATCACCTACACCTCCATTGCCATCAAAATTGCCACAAAAATTAGCCCGAAATGTGATTAAAAAATTTAACGCCGAGAATGGTATTAAAGTGGTGGATAGTGATGATAGCACTGGGTTAATCATTAAATTTCCAGCCGTTACCACACCTGCCATAGACCTGACCAGCCATAGAGTACGTTACTGTTTCGATAACATTATAACAAACGCCGGGTATTTTGTTCAACAACCGACACAACTGCCCACAACTGGAACTCCCAGTGTTGGCAATGAGGGGCAAAACGTAACTCACTTTTCATCATTTATTCAAACGTCAAAACCTTTATCAACACCTATACCCTCGCCATTAGCGCCGGGTTCTCACCCCTCGGCGCCCATCAACTATCTGGACGTTGAATTCAATTCAGATACTTTTGCCACAACCGCCAGTTCCCCACATATGGCATACATCACATTCACTGCATGTGTGGGCACAGTATGGGTGACGGGTATGTTGTTTATGTTGGCCGAGTACCGGGCGATTATACGGTTAATGCATATATTGAAGACAAACATCTGTGGCAATGATTCAGACGTTATCGTCAAACACATGTCCAAAAGTGGTTTCAATGACTGGAATTACGAAAAGTGTTTGAATTACTTTTACAATGCGTTAAAATTATATAAAAAGGTTTTATTAAATTCATTGTGATTTTTATTTTACTGTTATTTAATTTATATTAATATTACTTTTGCGACCAGACTTTGGCGAACTGTCCGAACCGGGAGACGGCGGCCACCGTTTACCCCCTGTTCAACACAATGCACTCATTTGTACCCTATTTTCTCATGACTGCCAAAGACTTTACAAAACTCAACGAATTGAAGCGATTGTTTGATGAGAAATGCGGCGAATGTCACACCATTTTTAACCCTAATTGTAGCACAGCTCCAATAGCCACAAATTGGACAGACAACGGGTCAGATTGTAATCACACATTAAACCTACCATTAAATAATAGTGTAGACCCGACTCGCGGTAAGGAACAGAACCCGATTGATTACTTGGGACTACCGTTGACGGGAAAACAGTTTACGGTAAACACCAGTTCCCCGCACTTGCCGTACGTGACAGTTATTATTAAAGTGAAAGGCGTGTGGTTTAGGACCGGGCACTTTGGTGCCGCCAACCACTTGGCCCTCAATCTGCTGTTACAACTGGTGGACAAACACCGGCCCACCGATGGTAGGCCTATGACTGATACCGAGTGGGCACGTGTAGCCAACAATATGCCCAGTATTAAAGATCCCAATAAACCCGATGTGGTGTTTGACCCGAAACTGTGCCAAAACTATTTGCAAAACGCTTTGGACTTATATAAAAAAGTAAATTTTATATAAAATGCAAATTGGTCTTGATAATATTTTGGTTCTTATTATTACAGATATTACATGAGTGTCCAAACATGGATAGGGCCGGCATAGCGTTCCCCATGTTTCATACATTTCACATCTTTAATACTGCATCCGTGGTGTCGGACGCCGAGTGCCGCGAAATTCAACGTTTGCGTGAATTGTTTAGCAAAAAGTGCAAAACAGACCCCTATATCGTTGAGGTTAACGTATCTGCACTGCCGGTGCCCTCACAGACCCCAAATGACTCCGGACTTTGGCCAAAGTCATGCCCAAACACGTGCGAAGTGGACGCATTTCGCAAAGCTTGTGCCAACATTACCAGGGACGATTTTGATGCATTTACTCACCTGTGCCTCTGCGTTGACGAAGCGGTTAAAACGTTGGGTCCGTTTGAAGAGAACCGGGAGTTGTTTTGGTCACACGTATGGCAGCTAATGCTTGAGTCCGGTTACGGTTCATTAGATAAGAGCACCTGCCGTCTGATGTTTACCCAACACGTGGGCCAATATTATAAAACTGTATGTATTATTGTGTGAGAGAG